TTTATCATATATAATCTCGTTATTTTTACAATTTGGGGGTGTAGGTAATCCCAAACGGCTCAATATTTCAAGGCCACCTTTTTTATCGATTTATGATCAAATTATCTTACGATCCAAGTAAAAAGCAAATGGGTATTTACAAGTTTTTAATACCTAATTAAATAGACAAAGTTTGTCCCCCTCCAGATTGAAAACGCATTAATTCCGAGAATTTTCGTAAATAAAATAGGTTTAGGTTACGATGAGATGAAGCTGTTCATGAAGTTTCAGGCGGATGTTAATAATTTGACAAAAAGGAGTCTGTACCACGGACTAATAATGAATTTATCCAGTTCTGAAATCTACCGATATTATACATTGTATAATGAAGTATTTAAAGATTTGGAAGGAATTGAAAAATCCTCCTCACGAAAACCGGAGCGATCTGAGAAAAGATTACTTACATAGACAATAAATAGGCAATAAAGAACTGCTTACAGTAACTAGTCAATTAAGATTTAATAATATGAAGGCGTGAAGGTTAACATGAGCGAAGCATGTAGCCCGGAGCAATCCATCAGGAAGCCTCTAAACAACAACAAATGGCTCTATAGTACGCCAAAGACAACGTAGAAGATCAACAACTATGTGGGTATCATATATACAAAGGAGTAGCAGAGCTAAGTGCACATAACTGGAGAGCAATAGTCCGATAAATACAAAATTAGAGAAGGATGATTAAGGCGAGAAAAAATCCTACTAGATTTGTAAAAATAGCAGAAAAATAAATATATAGATATAGAAATACAAGTTCTTCTTTTTATTAAACCCTTCCGAAGACCTGTATATTTTAAAAACCTTGAACATAACAATAAATTATATGCATTAGATTGTTAACACAGAAAATTTATTTATTTAATTACAAAAAATAGAACAATACAAAATCAAATTGCGTTACCTAAGAACAAAAACCCATCGTATATCTACGAAAGTGAAAAAGAGGAATTAGAAGAAGAAAAATTATGCAATATTAAACCATTTTAAAGCAATTGAATTGGTCAGTCTTTAAGAAAAAACGGAAATACGTTTCAGCAAAATAAAATAAAAAATGAAGAAATATATACACAAACAAAAAAATGTAAAAAGTCTAAAACTAAAAATATTTTTTAAAACTAAACAAAAAATTATACAAATTTTCTCTGAAGAAATTCAGACAGTAAAAATTCAATCTTCGATGATGACGTTCATGTGATAAGTTGTTAATGAATTCCTTCTGAATTACTGCATATCATGTTCAGAGAGGATTTCAAAAACTAATTGTTATACAATATATTATTATATAATAAAATATGAATTCATTGGTATGTTATTAATTATTTTCTAATATTTTAAGTTACGTCATCATCAGCTCCACTTCCAAGGTTTCTCAGTGATTAAGAGCTTTGCCGCCTCTTGATGATATGGGACCATTAGTCAATGTTTAACTTACATAAGTTCCCTTGCAAGTGCACTAACATGTATCAAGTAGCACTCGTGATGTTATTTGGGCGATCGATCATGCGGAGAGGGTATTACAACCAGGGATTTGTAACTCTTCAATTTATATCTTATCAGAACACCAGTGATTTTTAAGCGTTCAATGAAATAGAGATATCGTAATAATCTAAACATGGAAAATGAGTGATGAATTGCATATGGATGGCACACTTTTAAAACCTTGTAAGTCTGCTAAAGTTCTAAAACATGGCTGCTTATAAAATATCAGGGAAAGGGTGAAGTTTAGTATAAAATGATAACTACGCTCCATGCATAGGAGGTGAAGGGGAAATCAGAACATCATATAAAAAGATCAACTCAGTAATCAGTTTATTATGTGTATTAAAATATAATGTAGTATTCCTCATAATGTGGTACATTTTTTTTTTTTTTTTGTCTGTAAGACAAATCTTCGGTCATTCCTCTTCAAATCTAATGATTGAGGCATCATTTTGAAGATTATAACTTCCTTCATGTTGGAAAAAATAAGTATACCTCCCAAAAGAATCATAAAAAAATTTATGAACCACATTTTATTTTTATTTCTTAATGATATTTACAACTGTAAATACATTTAGTAAATTTGCACATATGGATATAATGACGTGAAAACACTTGTTGAGAAACTACGTATTGGTAGTACTCTAATAACATAGACATGTTATTACTTATGTAGACACATAAGGACATCACGAGGTCATCTTCTTTTCAGAGGCCTCGGAGGGTTATCAGGAATCGAAGAGGAAGCAAGGTTGGAAACAAGAGGATTCGGATGGTTATGAAGTGTATTATGGAAGGATAGGTATCTGGATTGGGCCAAATCGGAAACATATGGAACATTAAGGTCTTTATGGATTATTTTATTTGTGACAAAGTAAGGAGCATTGATGAAAAAAAAATTTCAATTTAGGAGAGGGAAATGTTATATTCAGCCCGAATCCCCAAGGTTATATTAAGTCCCACGCAAACCTTAACTTAATAAGAATATAATATTATTGTCGGCCCTTAACGAAATAATTATATTAATTGAATATAATTTTAAATTAAATAAAAGGGGGGGGGGAAGATTCATTTTCAAGACATGCTGTCCCAGCACATTAGGTTGATATATTCTTAAAGAGGCGCTCCTTATTTTTTATTTATTTATTTTTTTAATGAATCAATTAAGGCCACATATTTAATATTTATTTCATGTTTGGTACTATTTAAAGAGAAAGAACTGCCTTTCACTGTTTGATAGAGTACATAAAATATTCTTAAAATTCATATATTATAAATACATTAGTACTTATCCTAACTGAAAAATAAAATATGAAAATTTGATAAAAATATTCGGAGTTTCTCAGGAGCTCTGGCTCATAAACTGAGGGCTGTCTATCCAAGGGAATCGAGATGGACAAAAGTCAAAATATTAATAGTAAATACTTGTCTATAAGGTAATGTAATTAAGTATTTAAAATATATCGTTACCGTAACTACAAAAAAATAGAATGTAAAATTTTCCATTTATTCGATTAGTGCTAAAGGTGACATTTTATAGTATGCAGCTGCTATAAGTAGTCTGCTACTATTGAAATTACGAAGGAAAATAAAATATGAAATTATACTAAAAAATCTTGAAGAAATGATCAGTTTTTATGTTCTGTTCTATGATAAGACCTGTTGCGAGATGTTGAATTTTTTATAATTTTATTCATGATATTAATATTTGTCAATTTCAATCCAATAATTTGCTAGTGAAATCAATTATGTAATATTTTTTATTTTAGTTACAGGAAATATAACTGGAATAAGTTATGTAAGTGACCAAAAACTAAGTAATATAACGAATCAGGAATGTCGTGATATTGTCACGTCCCTGAATATGTACGAAATCAATCCTACTAAATTTGTGAAAGAAATTATGAAGATTCATGTTCACGGCAACATTGCACTGAGAAGTAGTTACTTGGACATATTAAGAGATCTGTCATAAAAAAAATTAATTACTCTCTTTTTTAATTTTGATTTTGTAATTTTTTTTAATACACTTGTCGCGTTTAGTTTTAGCAACGTGATTAATTAATTTATTACATAATAATTTACTAAATAATCAGTAGTAATTTTTTAGTATTTTACTGGTTTTATTTATAATTTTTGGTATCACCTAGAGAAATATATCATTCACATTGACTTTTGTCCTGCTTGATTTTACAGACAGTCCACTGTGCGTCATATTAGAGCAGTGAAACGGTAGTAGTTCCATAATTTGTTTTACAGTAATATTTTATTTTTATGTATTTTTGTACAATTTTCCTGTTGCTGGAATTATGTAATTAAATAAATTTATTAATATTGGTTTTGTAATAAAAAGTAATTTAATAGTTTTTAAATTAAATTTTAAATTAACTTGTTGTAGGTGAAATTGAATATATGTAGACATTTTTTGAAAAGAAATTGTCCTTAAGGTGACATTTCACAATGACAAACAATATGTGTAAATGGTCATTTCACTGCGCTAGTATTTTTGTTTCCTATTTTCCATTTGCTGTCGGTATCAAGAGATATAAGATAAATATTTTGTTATATTTAATCTATATATGATTATTTATTTATCAAAACCCTTTTCTTAGTATCACAGTATTATATTTTACATTTTTTTTTTTTTTTTTTGTTATTATAAATTTGCCACTGCGTTGATGCGTTCCAACCAAGCGTTAATTATATCTTCTTGAATTCCTGATATTTTCTTAACTTTTCAGCAGATCTCTAGGCCACTGCCTTTACATTTAAAGCATTTTTACAAACATTTAAAAATTATAATTTTTAAGGTTAAAAAAAACATTGCTCTTGGAGCAGAAGCGTATTATAATTTTATAAATTATAATTTTTAAATGTTCGTAAACATTTCTAAATGTACAATAAAAGACTGTGAGATTAAAAAGTGTTCTGATAAATAAATAATCATACATTGTTTTTTTTTTTTTTTTTTTTTTTTTTGGCTTTTTCTACAACTTAAGCAGCCATATCCCCAACACCCAAAAGCCACTGATCCTTGTCCAACCCATTTCCTTCACGTAGCCCTCTGGCTGCCATGCATTTCCCGACGTCCTCTACCCATTTCTTTTTTGGCCTTCCACGCTTCCTTCTTTCATATAGTTATAAATTTTCTTTGGCCAGCGGTTCTCATCCATCCGCATTAAGTGGCCATAAATAAAACTAATAATTAATGAAAATCTCACAAATAAATCTGAATAACCTAAATAAGGTTGTTTATCATAAATATAAATGGTTCGGTTTAGCAATAACGTCACATGTTAGTTAAGTTGGATAATCGTGTTTCCCCTAGTTTGTGAAACATCCTTCAAATGCTTGATACAAATGAAATGTGACCGAGCCAGTGACCACCCTCAACCCAGAGCGGGGAGCCCGCCCCCTAGGGCCGGCGATAAATCAAGATAAGGCAGGGGAGAGGGGGAGAGGGGGCATGCGCCGTCTGCAGTCTGCAGTCCTCAGTTCAGTACGCGATGAGCCACGGAGGAGTAGAAGTCAAGGGAGTCGTCCCGCCAGACGGAGGTTGGGGGTGGGCCGTCGTCTTCGCCAGCTTCATGATACACATCTTCGGTAAGTCTTAACTATAAGTCACATTATACCTACCATATATATACAGTAAGTCTCATATAGCTAAGTTAATTGGAGCGATAATTAATACTTAATAAAAAATGGATCAGTATAATATTTCGATATTGATGAATTTTTCATATTGTCAGTAGTCAAAAGGTCATTCAAAGATCATATGGTTGTGAATAAATAGAACTGGAAGAGTTGGTTTTGGGGCATCTGATCGATTCATGACTTCTATTTCAACAGTTCAACATTGACCTTTTGAACTATATTATCTCCAAACATTTGTAACTAATATTTATTTTAAATTAACTAAATACCAAAAATATTTCTAGTTCACTTTATAAAACGTTCATCTTCTTCCACTTTTTTTTTTTTTTTTTTGGACTTGTAGAAGATTTTTTTATTACAAAATAACCTACAGGTTGTCAAAGGATCAATTAAATGATGCAACAGGTCCCATTGGATCGAATAGCATAAATTATAGTAAACAAGGTTACTATTGTTGAAACAAGGTTTCCTATTGACATAGCACTGAATATCCTAGCAACGTACTCTGATCGTTGCATCATTTACCGAGGACTGCATCCAGGAAAGGCGGGAGACGAGAATAGAGGCTGGAAATAGTTATAGTAAGCCTAGAGGCTACCCACGTGGGAGGGAGGTTCTAAGTTTCAGGTTATTATCTATCCGCGGTTTCTGTCTTCTACGGCTGTTCAATAAATGGTTGCGAAAAATTTGTAATATGACAGCTCTTAGAAACAATATATTAATTAATTGCCATTACATGTTCCATCTCTTCAAATAAAAATGGCTTTAAAAATAAGGCCTAAACTTCAAATCCAACCTAAAAAAAAAGTCTAAACAAACCCTTAATGTAGAATAGAATAGAAAAATCAATTTTATTCTGATTATAAAATAACAATATTGTACATATAAATTAACATCAGACCTATTACAATAAATAATAACTAAAACACAAGTAATAAGACAAGTACATGGATAGCTATGAAAATAAAAAATATCAATGAAAGCAGAAGAGCAATAGGTTACAATACTGCTACAAAATAGCAGCTAAAAATAGTAATAATAACTAAATTAAGTTGGAAAGGAACGTTAAATTATTTTTATTAGTAAACCATTGTAATGATAGAAAAAACTAAAGAAAGTAAATAAATGATTTATATCTATTCCTTAAGATGTGTAAATAAATACTCAAAATGGTATTATTAAACTTAAAAAAGTATTGTAATCTAAATACTGAGACGTAGATTGAGGGAAAACAAATTATATAATATATATATATATATACACTTGGAAGCGAGCGTGTTCGCGATGAGTAAAAAATGAAAAAACAATATAGTCATGTTTTTGTATGTCGTTGAAATTTTTTAATCAGAATTACTTTAGCATATATTTCAGCCTCGACTATAATAATCTCCAGGATATATGTACGTTTCTAAAAGAATCTACTTTTTTTAACTTGAAAAGCTATTTTTTTTTTTAAATATGCTATAACTGTAAATTATTAAAACATATAAAAGGAAATGGAAACTGGAAAATAGGAACTGGTCCCTATGATGAAAAACCAATAGAGTTTTGAGAGAAACGTGGAATAAATTTGTTCATTCACGCAAGCCCAAAGGTTAGCTAATCATGAAGAATAACTTTGAAGTTAGGAACTCGAGAAAACTTCAAACATTTTTGGCCTAAACGAGGCGGAATTGATAATGGCTCTTTTATCCTCGAATCTCACAGATAGATTCGATAACAATTAAAACATGATATTTATAAAATAATTCTTATAAATATTTCCCTTTAAAAATAATGTAATGAAAGAGATAATGGAAATTTGAAAGCTACAGAAAAAAAAATTGGCATATCAGAATCATTACGAGACATTCAACTGGATATAGTGCTCTGATACAATTTAAATTATCGTTAAACACCAATGACCCTTCAGCCAATGACCCTAAATAAATATATATATATTTTTTTTTACTTTTATAATGATTTTACTGAGTATTAATACAATCTGCCACACTGAAGGCATGGGTTCTAGGGCTACAGCATTCATTCACACAATATGTACATAACAAAAGAAAATAAATATAAATAACTAAAGCAAAATATATATATATATATATATATATATATATATATATATATATATATATATGTGTGTGTGTGTGTGTGTGTGTGTGTATATATAGATATATTATATTTTGTTATTATTTTTTTTATATACTTTTTTTATATATACATATATATATATATATATATATATTATTTTATTATTTTTATATATATATATATATATATATATATATATATATATATATATATATATATATATAAAGATAAAGTAATATACAAGATAAATAAAATAATAGATTAAAGCCGAATCATAATAAAATAAATAAAACACATTCACACCTGTACAATATTAATAAAAAAAAAATTTCATATTTTTAAATATGAAATAACAATCCTAACACTCTTGTGATAAAATTCAAAGAATACTTTCCTGACTAATATTTCATTATATTAAACAATTTAGGAATGATACTTGGTAGTATAAAGTTAAAATATAATTGTAGTTAAAATCTAAATAATAAAATTAAGCTAAATGTACAGTTACTTTAGAAAACTTACTAGTTCACAAATATAAAAATATAATTTTATCTTAGATTTACCATAAAACGGAGAACATAACATCTAGGGTCACTAACCATACGCCAAAACTAGAATAATTTATTTGTTGGTGAGCAAAAACTTCATGTTTTATATAAATAAATAAAACTAATGTTTAATGAGAACAAAGTTTATAATGACAGACTTGGAAATAGCTTCTCGGTGAAACCGGAAATTAATTCTCTTTGAAACAGAAAGTAGTTCATGGGGGGGGGGGGGTTGCGAAGAAGTTCCAAACAAAATTCTCACCTTTTCACACTATGGAAAAAGTTGTATATAGAGTAGTAAATTATTGCATATTCATATGGTGCATATGTTGGTATTTTTATCAATCACTAATACACACACCCATATACATATATTCAACTTATATAATTTTTTAATTTTTAGTAACCTAAATAATTAAATATTAATTATTCTAGCGCCAGATCAATGAAAAATGTTTGGCGGCCGCAGCTATGTCACAGAGGCCATATGCGGCCTCGGGGCCGTAAGATAATTATTATAAACATGTACCATGTTATTGTGTCAACGTATATTTTTGTCCATGCCGCCCGTTTCGGAACATGTTGGCAAATTGAACAGCTTGTTTGTTTATGACGCCATCAATATGATAAACAGCATCTTTACATCGCATTAAATGCATTAAAACAAAATGTATATATAGAGTTAATCTCTGATATTAAAAAATAAAGATCATTCTGAAATGTAATAATCCGAGATAAAGGCTGTTCTTAAACTGAATTTTACATTTAATTCTCTCTGAATCTGATTTTTTTTTTCATATTAAAAGAATCAGTAAATGCCACAAGAGATACACATGTTGTGGATTACGAACTATCCTCTTTTTTTTTATCAATAAGTAAAACACGTCATAAAATGACGTGAAAGAAAAAAAGCTAATCATTTGTTTTGTTTTTTAAATTATAAAAATTACAGTTCAAACATATCAACCGGTAACTCGATTTAATGATTTTTAAGGAATTAATAATAAAAAATTTAAAAAAAATATATAAAACATCTGAAAATTTAAAAGTAAAATTAAAATATCTAAAAATTTATTTTATTAATATTTTCACGTGAAACACTGCTTAAATTGCGGATATGGCTTGGATTATAGATATTGAATAACACACATTCTGTAATGTTGCACCTAAAAATAATATAACATAATATTAAATAATAATATTAAAAATACGTAATTGAATTAATATTTTTCCGAGCGTATATTTTCATTCATGTCACTCGTTTTACGATTCTAGGAGCAAAACAAAATAAGGTCAAGAGCAATATCACTGGAGGAAAACAACATTTTATACACTCTTCGTTATTTTTGTAGCAAAAATATTTTACTTTTTTGCAAAATTTACAGACTTAGATGAAATAGACCCTTATTAATTTTGAAAAAAAAATGAAAGGCTTTTTTTTCGAAAAGCTTTCAAATGAAGCCATATTATTTTATTATAATAAAAAAAAAAAAGGTTCACTACTGTATTTCATCTTTAATTTTTATGCACTTTTTCAACAAGGTAGAAAGTATAATAATTACTTTTTGCTTCAATTAAAATATCCACTTTACTTTTTGGGATTCTCTATCTTAGGAGAAGGTATTCTTAAAAATACCATTTTATCATTTCAACACATTTTCTAAAATGTGTTACACCAATTAGCTTTGTTACACTAAAATTCATAGAGAAAAATTAAAACTATGATATCTAAGTGACAAGATATTTTTAAAAAAAATTAGGACTCAACAAATAATTGTTTAATATTGAGATCGTTAAATATTATATTTGTATTGCGTCCTAGCATGGAATATCTCCCCATTAAAAATTATTACCTATGCACTTCATTACAAGTAAACTCCATTAAAACCTAAATAAATTCTAAATTAGACCTAATACAATGTTACTATACTATAACATTACAAGACATATTACAAGTCCCTAGAGCTTGAAGGTTCACTTGTTTCTAAATTATATATATATATATATATATATATATATATATATATATATATATATATATATATATATATATATATATATTTAATCGAAAACATTACAGTAAATAGTTGAAGTATAGAAAAACATAATTATTTTATAATAATGTTATCTGGTTTACAGTAGTTAATTTTCATATCAGTTTCGAAAGTTACCTGTAAAGTACAGAATTATTAAAGTTTCAAGTATGTGGTAAATTAATGGATAAGATATTCTCCACGTTTTCACCAATAATCGATTTTATATTTATTCTGTTATTACAAAGTTTCGTTTTAAAGTATATTAAAATTAATCACGTGTCTA